GGGAAGGGATGATGAAAGGGTTAGGGGGTAGGCTTTGAGAGGGAGGGAGGGAGGGAGGGAGGAGAGAAATAGAGGGCGTAGGGAGAGAAAGAAAAAGAGAGAAAGAGGGGTGGGGAAGGGGTGGAGAGGAAAAAAAATAGAGAGACAACAAGAGACAGACAAACAGACAGACAGATACACAGATTGTCAAAGGAAGGGAATGACACACACACACACACACACACAGTCAGCCATCTCTTACTTTATAGAAAATAAATCACATATTTGACACTGTGCTTTATGTTACGATGAAGCCCTATAATCCACATCTTGGTACTGACATGTCTGAAAAGTGAGTTGACGATAGAGAGAATGAGGAAGATGAGATGGAAGCATTTTCCCCTCCAATATACAACAGTGGTATACATTAGACTTATGCCAAAAAATGAAAGTGGACCCTCAAAGTGCTCCTGACTTAGGTGACTACAGAAATCCTAACAACGTAAAAATACCTTATATGGCATTCCTCAATCATCCAGCAGATACTTCTACATGACGGCACTATAACATACCACAGAGGTGAAGAAAGGCATAGGTTTTCTTTCATTTTTTTCTTCCAGAAATTTTTCTTAAAGTTTTTTATTTAGAAAGGCAGAACTGTGTCCATTCAAAAAATCTCCATGATCTGACAGGACAAAAAAACAAAACCCCAACAAACTAAAATTCTCTAGCAATTTGTCAAAAGCAAAATCCTGTACAAAGATCTAGAAAGTTGTGGGTGGAGAGGAGTGAAGTAAGAAAACAAATCCAATATTTCCACCATTGGAAAATATTGCAATCGTGATTATAAAATCATTTCATAAGATGTCTTATTGCATTTCAATTTATATATATATATATAACAATTTGAAATGGGAGTCAAATAGACATGTCTAATGAAAGCTATTTACAGAATTGTGCTCATTATTACGTGTATATTTAACAAATGTCAATTCACGCAGTGAGTTTCAATTATAAGGTATTCCGACTTATGCTTACAGCATACTTCACTAAAATAAAAACCCAGTCCACATTCACACATGAAATATAATATTATACCATATTTACAAAAGAAACATGCTAACTGCTTCACTATGTGTGCAGTCATTATAAAAAACAGGACATAGTCACGAAGTTTTTAATGAAATGAACATTTTCTCGGTCTTATTCTTGATTGGTAAAAACCAGTGTAACGAGGGCACAAAATAAAGTGAATAAATAAAAAGATCCATAAACAAAAATCTCATCAATGAGCCAGTCAATACAAAAATTCAGCGGCTATGGAGTTCTGCAAAAGAAATAAATACACATGCATAGACATTACAGGCAAAAAGAAATGAAAATGCAGCAGTATCTCATCGACATCTTTCCCCATCTACTTTTTTGTCTAAGGCAGCTGCAAAGAGTTTCCACAATGATTTTTGCTATGGTCAAATTGTATCAGGGCACTTGGAGAAAAAAATTAATTAATTAATAAGAAGAAAAGGAGCTAAAAAGAAACTGATATGCCAGTTGTTCTTCAAACTCGACAGAAGGCATTGACAGTGACCTATGTGATAAGTGGCAACAGTTTTGTGTAAAATGACAGCTCTAAAAATGAACTGCTCTATTTCAAGATACAGCCCAGTTCAGAACACTTTCAGATTTTCCGAATGTACACACACTTCTGACAGAGTGAGAAAATACTATGGGATTAATCTTTTTCACTTTTCAGCATTAAAAAGGCTATATCAGACCTCTTCAGATCTCATTTGAACAAGACTTCATCAGGTTGGAAGAGAATTATCCCCGGTCAAAACAAAAAAGCAAAGGATGTTGGAAAAAACCCCAACAAGTTCTAAATGTCATGCACATCTGGAACAAAGGAAGAGTCTTTAATTCTCATTTCTAATGTTTCATTTTAATATATCCCTTCACATTACAGTTATTACTACTACATAATTATTACTATTATGATTGTATTATGTTATTTTTATCAGATCTCGGACATCATGGCTTTTTGAAGTGCTATAAGTTTTCTATGTCACACTGTTTTTAATTAAAAGCATACACATGACCAGTAATGCAAGGACAGAAATTGAGTATTGACTTGATGGTGAACACATTTACATGTAATACAAGAAGTGCAAAGCAAAGCATTGTTGGACAAAGGTGTCAGTAGTGAGCGTCAAATAAATCATATACAAAATAAGTTACCAGGGTCATGGTATCCACACAGGGAATAAAAGATACAAACCTTGGTTCAGATTGCACT